CCCCCGGGTCGTCTGGAGCATTTGGGAACCAAAAAGTTGCCAAAACAAGTTTGATTCAGCTGCTGTTCTTTGACACCGTCTGTGGTTCTCTGTAAATCACTAACAGATAATATTTTCATATTCTGGCTCTCTCCATGTCCCCTGCTTTCTGAATAATTACCTTGTTTTGTGCGAGCCGTAAGAGGTTTTCACAGATAATTCATCCAGCACTGAAAGGCAGCCAGCTTTTGGGCTGGAGCACATTTTCTGGCCACCTGGCATTGCTGCACAGAGGTCTGCGCTGGAGCGCAGCTGCCTCCGGAGGGAAGTGCCGTATCCAGGACAGCCGAGGGCAAGGCGAAAAACCAAACCCAGCTGAAATCCCAGCCGCCCTTCCTCAGAGAATAATTTAGCTTGGCAAACTCAGCCCACCCTGAATTTCTGGATGTGTGGACAGATTGATCCCACAGATCTGGATGCTCTCACCCACAGAAAGGCCGTTTCACTGGAAACAAAACACCTCTCGGGAGCTGTTTGCAGCAGCGTGCTCTGTCTCAGCTCGCTCCCCGTGTCCTGACCGGTGCTGGGCTCTCTGAGAGTGGGTGGGTCAGAGTCCAGCGTGGAGCCAGGATTTCACCAAGGTTCCCATCCCTGTCCCAGGGGATGAATTGATGTGGGGCAGCCAGGAGAAGTGATTGTCCCTGTGCCAGCTTATCTCAGTGACTCTCAGAACCAGGCCACCAAAGATGCCGCGGTAATTGCTGGCGTCACTGTGCTGAGAGGCTTCAGTGAGACAACGTCAGCAGCCCTGGCCTGCAGCCTCCATCACCCTGCTGAAGAGCGCAGTGTCCTCGTCTTTAATACAGGCCATGAGGGACGTCAGCATCTTCATCATAGACAGGGATGTTGTTGAGGTGAAAACCACGGTCAGGGACAGTCACCTGGGAGGCGATGGCTTTGATGACCATTTGGTGAGGATCTTCATGAATAAATTCTTAAAGAAGCATCAAGAGAGCATCAGGCAGGACAGACAAGCTGTTTGGAGGCTCAGAAAAGCCTGTAAGGTGGCCAAATGGACTCCCACCTCCAGCATGAAAGCCACCCGGAGTGCTAAGGCCCAAGCCAGAGCTGACCTGTAGATGACTCCTGTGTATTTCATAACTGGTAACCATTATTCCAACAGGTATACTAAGTCATAATAAACCACCAATCCTGATGGAAAAGGTGGAAGTGTTGAAGCCTGAGCAACAGGCTCTGAACCGAAACTGTTAACCCGGAATGTAATCCTTAATGAAATATGCATGGAGGATGAGCTACCTTGAATGTACCTTTCCCCTCCTTTGTATGTGAATAGAATAACAGAGTCATGGAGGCTGGTGTCTGCCTATGTGACCTGATGTGATGAAGCTACTTTGAATATATCTTTCCCTTCTTTTGTGTGTGAATAGAATAACAGAATCATGGAGGCAGGTGTCTGTCCCCGACACCTGATGTGAGACCTTGCACATAATCCCGTCAGAGAAGCAGAGAAACTCCTTTGGCTTCTTCCTCGGGCCCTGGCCAGGCTCTGGGGGGAACCTAATGTGAGATTGAAACCAGGTATTTCCGCTTAAAACAAAGGTGCCAGCTATTCTGGCTTGCTGATTTTTAGGTATATAAGGCTGGGCCCGCTCACAGCAACTTTGGAAGCCTCACCTATGGGTGGATGCACCCCGTAGGATTTCCCACTTGCCGGGACAGGTTCTCCAAATCCTCGCTCTAACCGGGGCTGCCCAGCACCTGCGGATCTGGATGATGGTAAAGTATGCAAGTGGTGATGTATCTTTCTTAATCACTATTCTCTTTCTCAGGTAGTAATGATCTGATGCATTACACGGTATTTTCCTATTTGTTTAAGCGCTCTGTTCTGTCTTTTCTTACTGTATGTTTTCTGTATTATTCTGTGGTATTATTTCTAGTAAAATACTCCTGCTCTTCTCACTCTGGTGTCTGAGTTTAATTGGTATCCCTGATCAGCAAAACACCACCATCAGCCTGCTCTGCCTCTAAAGGGATCATCTCACAGGGGGACATCACCCATGCCCAGTGTAAGCACCTGAGCACCAACCTCGTGGTTGGCAGATGCCAAGATGGGGCAGCTGAACAAGGAGGAGACCCTGAAGGTAGCAGAGGACCTTGAGAAACAGCGAGTAGAGGACAGGGTGCAGGGCTGGAAGCTGGCCACCGGGGACTACCTACGGTTCTGGGCTTTCAGCATGAAGCTGAGCTCGGGAGACATCTTGAACTACCTCATTTTGCAGAGCGAGAAGGTGGGATTCTCAAGGGGGCATACGGGAAGTAGGTGTCAAATCCTCTCAGCTTTCACTCTCTGGGTGGTGCTTGCTCCCCATAAAGCACCAGCCTCAGCTGATATTTCACCATCAAGGTATCAAATTTGGGGAGTTTCCTACATCGCTGGCAAATTGGAAAGGCAGTGTATGCAGGCAATGTTCTTCTTCCAAAGGAAACCTTAAATGAATACTTTTAGGCCAGCTTTGCTTCCAATAAAAAACAGGGTTCAGGGTGGTTGTTCTTTGCTACGCTCGGCAGAATGTGGACTGACTCAGGTTCGGGTGTCGAGGGAAGTCTGGAGGTCGCAGCTCACCTGGGCTGGGAGCCAGAACCCAAGGTTGGTTCTGGAAACAGCAAAGCTCTTCAGTCCTTATATCCTTTCTTATTTTCTGTTTTTTCAAATATAATAAATGGATCTTTTTTTAAGTTCCCAGCTACCCTTAACTACCCATGCTCAGAACTGCTATCCCTAATGCCACAAATGCAAAATTTCAGGCTCCTGCTAAATGCTTCCTAGGGGTACAAAACCTCCAGCTCTTGAAGCCACCTGCGTGTTCAGCAGCAAATTCAGAGCATCACCCATCCAAAGGGAGCCTGAAAGTCACGGTTCCCTGAAAGTCAAAGCATGTTTTATTGACTGCAGTCAAGAGAATCAAAGATCTGGAGACCTGGACTCCCACAGAATAAACCACATTATTCCTGTGCAGTGATCATTTCTCTCCCAGACATGAATTCGAGTCAGCACCCCTGCTGAGAGTGATTAAAGACCACTTCAGAAATCAGTGCAGCAAATTGTAAAATAAGCAGGTGAACAAGTGAAAGAAAACAAGAAAATATTATGACCTGCCACCCTCAATTGGGAGCAATGCCATCGCCTGGGAGGAAGCGCTGCTCCCTGGGTGCCACCCGCCAGCACCTGCGGCGAGGGAGGACGGCGGCTGACCCCAGCTCTCTGCTGTGCAAAATAAGGGTGTAACCATGGGGGAACGATGCTTCTCAACTACCAGAAACCCATTTTGGTGGAAGATGCAGCCTGTGCACATACTGATACAAGCCAGGGCTGACTTTTCCCCTTTTGTAGGCTCCCCTGCCCGGCTGCTAATTGCATTCTCAAATTGGGAAGGCAGAGCCTGGCAGTGCCAACAGCTCTCACGTGGGAGCTCTGGGCTGCCGGCTGCTGCTGCCTGCTCGGCTCCATCCCCAGGGTGGACGTGAGCCGGGCACCAGAGCCCCAAGAATGAACCGTCACACCATGCTGATATCCAGCCTGGACACCCCAAGAGCAGCACTGGCCTCACCAACCCCTTGGCTCTTGGTCAGGCTCCCCTGTAGCCTCCGCTGGAGACAAAAGGAGCATGACCTCTCTGGGGTGACAGGTCCAAGCCCAGCTGCCCCACAAGAGGTTGGACAAACCCCCCCCGAAACATCCTGGGTGAAATAAGCTTTGGGTCTCCTTTGGGTCCATTTGGGCTCCCTCCATCCTGAGGGCTGCTGGCAGCAGCATGGAAACTCCCAGAAGCTCTGCTTTCCCCCCAGACAGGTGGGGAAACTGAGTCACCAAACACTGACCCGCACAGGAGCCTGGGGAGAGGTTGAGCAGAGGACCTGGGTGCTTTAAGAGGCACCGGGTGCTGGAGATTGCTCTCTCTGGTGGGAGCAGCTCCCTTGCTCCTGGCATGATGCCCAGAGTCCAGTTGAGAACAGGAGGGGCCTGAGCCCAGCCCAGCTTCCAAGAGTGGATCCAGGCTCCCTCCTGCTTCTGGAGAAGGGGGTGCTGGCACTTCTGGGGTTAGAGCACACATAACCCAAACAGGGATGAGCCTGGCCTGAACACTGGGTGAAACTCACGGCAAGGGCTGTGGCTGGGGGGGACACGACAGGTTGGGACTGGCAGAAGACACCCCAGCATGACAGACAGGATCACTTCTACAGGCTTTTACTGCTAAAATGGTAAAATACCTCTCCAGAGGGCTGGGAGGATCCTCTGACCTTCCAGCTGAGCTGCCTCACAACAATCTCGCAGGGCCCCGCATCCCTCTGCCAGCCCCCCCATCCGTCTGGAGTTGCCCAGGGGAACACGAAGCTCACATGCGGGACCGTGTCCCATCAGGCCAGGATGGGGAAGGAGGCAGCAGTGGCCACGCCACAGTTGTTGTCCTTCATGGCCATGAGGATGTAGCCATCGTTGCCCCAGTACGTGGACCAGGAGTTCTTGATCAGCCAGTAGCTCTTGCCGTGCAGGACCCCGTAGCCCACGGCCAGCACCGCGTGGTCCAGCGCTCCCGTCTCATTTCCTGACGGGAGAAGAAAATGGATCCATCTCCGTCCCCACTCCTTGGAGCTGGAGGTTGTTCCTGATGCAGCGAGTGGTCTCGTATCCCCTGGCTGGGAGCTTAGCTGGGGTGTAAATCCCACCCTGCAAATATTTTTGCCTCTCCCAGCCCCAGTGAGAACACGGAGCCTCCTGGGTCGACTCACCGCAGTGGGGCTCCTCGTAGACCCCGTTGGCATAGAAGGCGAAGGACTTGTGCGAGGCGTCGATGTTGACAGCCACGGGGCCGTGCTTGACCAGAGCAGCCTTCAGTGCCATGGCACTGCCCGGGTCCACGGTGGCATAGCCAGCGAGTTGGGCCACCAGCTCCGACTGGTTGCAGTGGCAGTAGCCGTTCTGGGGGAGGAGTGGAGAGGCTGAGGTGGCACCCAGGCTCCTGGGGTAGTTGGGGGGGGGTCTGACCCACCCTGGTGAAGGGGAAGGGCAGCTTGGATGAAGCATCCATAAAACAAAATAAGCCTCTATCCACTGCCAAAGGTCTGATGGCTGATTTAGGAGAGCCTGGGGAGAAGGATTGAGGAGGGGGTGGCACTTTCACCCCCCCGAGCGGAGCTGCTACCCTCACCTGCCCCAGGTAGGGCCCGTAGGACTCGGTGCTGGCGATGCCGCCGTGTTTCTTGATCCACTCGTAGGCTCGCCACTCCTCGCCCCCATCGCAGGCGCGATTCCCAAAGCCCCAGGAGCAGTCGATGAGGACTTGTTGGGACAGGGGGGTCAGCACGCCGGTCTGCGGGGGGGGGACACGCTGCAGGGATGGGGACGGGCACCCTCCAAGTGCCCTGGCCATCGATGTGGGGCACGGCCCCGCTCTTACCTTGAGGAAGAGGGCACCCTCCATCGCGCCCGTCGTAGCGAAGCTCCAGCAGGACCCGCAGATGGCCTGGTCCTTCACAGGGGTCACAGCGCCTGGGGACAGCGGGATGGGGACACGTTTAACAGAGCAGTGGAGGACGCTGCCCATCCCCACACAAACCCTAGCAGGCACAGCTGACCCCCAGCCTCCTGCATGCTCCGGGTTTACACACCGGTGGCACCAGCTCCCTCCTCACCGTACAGCCGCCAGTCGAGGCTCTCGGGCAGGATGAGGCCGGCGTAGAGCTCGGTGGGGAAGGGCTGCCCGTTGTGGGGAGCCCCGCTCCAGCGGCGGCCCCGCAGGGCAGCCAGCTCCTGGGGCGTGCGGTCGGCCAGCTCCTGGGGCGTGCGGTCGGCCAAGTGGTTCAGCGCCAGCGTGTAGGAGAGCGCGGCGCGGTTCCTCGAGTGCACGAACCTGCAGCAGAGCAGAGATGCTGCAAGAGGGGAGCAGGGGACCCCATCCCTGACCCCCCCCCAGCCCATCCCCATACCGCATGTTATGGATGAAGGTGTGCTTGCGGTGCTCGTGCTCCTCCTCGCTGCTGTAACTCTTCCCGAACTGCTCCTTGTAGCGGTGGAAGAGGCGGTGGTGGACGTTGTCTGTCTCCGGCGCCGTCCCCACAAACTCCTGCATGGGGTTGGCCACGATGCGGTGCTCGGGGCCGGCCGTGGGCCACTGCTCGCACTGTACCCCTGCCATGAGGTATGGACGGTGGCTGATGATCCCGAGTGGTATCGGGCTCTCCTGACCCCCCAGCTGGGATGCACAGCATGGTCACCCCCAAAACCATTGGGGGTCTCCATCCTGTCGTGCACACAGGGCGGGGGGCTGCACACACACCAGAGCTGGCTCCTGAGCACCCACTGTCCCCCCCAGCACCCTGCACTCCAGAACGGAGGAGCCAGCATCAGGAAAGCACCCGCATTGCCCCAGTTATCAACATTAATTACTTTTCTCTCCTGCTTTTTTTTCCCAACCAAACCCATTCACTCAAATTATCAGGCTCTTGCAAAAAACAAAAAAATCAACCCCAACACGAAATAAAAAAGTGGAAGTGTGCTGCATTTTGGTGGCAGCAGCAGCTGCAGGCTGGGCTGCGGGGTGGCTGGGAACTCACCCTCCGGGAGGTGGAAGACGCTGGCGGGGAAGCGGTGGCTGAAGGAGGAGTAGTCGATCTCGTACTTGTCGTAGTGGGAGCCCAGGAGGCTGTTGAAGCCGCGCACCTCGTAGTGCAGGGGCACGGGGCCGCGGGCAGAGCTGCCCACCCGCAGTGTGTAGACGTTCTTCTTGCGGCCCCAGTAGGAGATGTTCTGCCAGACGGCGCAGGGCTGCCCGCGGAATTGCTCCTCCCGCACCCTCTGGACACAGAGCACGTGTTGGGGACCAGGGCGCTACGCTGGCACCGCGCCCCCAGTGAGCTGGGGCACCCCGCAGTGATGGTGCTCCCCCGTCCTGTTCGTGCCACGCTGGATACAACCCCTCCACCTCCATCACTTGTGGCCACATCCAGGCTTGTATTTACCCACTCCCAGCCAGGGAAGGCTGCTCTGCCCCCATGGGGGTCCCTTGTCCCCTCCCCGGCCCCATCCTTCATCCTGGAGAACCGTGCCCAGGGCTCACCTTGAAGTTCTCCAGGCTGGGGAAGACGCTCTGCGGGGCGATGAGGTCCCTGTCGGTGCCGTTGATGCGGAAGCACTTGCGGACATTAACCTCCGTCTCCGTGGTCTCGGGTGTCACCTTGAAGCTGGCACCGAAGGGCTCGATGGAGCCAAACTGGTAGGTGACCACTTGGCCTGGGGACAGGGACAATGCTGAGGTCAAGCCAAGCCCCCACATCCTGGCATTGGTGGTGTCTCCCAGGGCTTTCCTGGGGCACCCAAAGCTCCTGGGGCAGAAGGAGGAGGGTGGGGAAGGGTTGGGGGGGTTGGACCCCTTCCTGCACCCACCGCCATAGTACTCGATGCGGCTCTTCCCCCCGGTGAGGTTGTACCAGGCTTCGAAGGGCTCCCTGATCTCTGCATAGGGCAGGCTGATGACTCCTGCAGGCACAGAGGGGTCGGGTTTGGGGGGACTGTGGGGGACTAAGCCCCGGGGACCCCACCAGCAGCACCTCATGGCAGTGATGCGCCCCCCAGCCCCCAGGTTTCACAGGGGAGTTGGAGCCTCCGCGGCTCGGGCATGTGGGGTGGGAGTTGGTGGGTGGAAGTGGGGGACCCCCTTGGGCAGCGTGGCGGTGGCACCATCCCAGCGGCTGCCCCATCCCCAAGGTACCTGTGACGTGGTAGATGTCCCCAAATGTGGGTGTCTCCAGAGGACCTTTGCACTCTGCTCCTAGAAGAAAAACAAAACCCAAACCCTCAAACCCCTTTACACTGCTGATTACCCAACTCCCCGTGCAGAGGGGGACAGACCCAGGGTGGCCCATGCTGGTGGCAGGGCTGGAAGGGCTCCCACCTGCCCAGACAGGGCAGAGATTGGGGGTCCCCAAGCTGGGGGTCCCCAGAATCACAAAATCATCTGGGTTGGAAAAGATCTTGAAGATCATCTAGTCCAACCATTGAGGTCCCCACTCCTCTGCCAGTCCTCTGGTTGACCCAGAGCTCCCCCCTCCACTACTCTCCTTGGGGTGCAGCCAGCTCAGCTGGTATGCACCCCCATATGCCACACGCAGAGCGTGCCCACTGCTCCTTCACTGCCCAGGGCATGGGGACAGGGACAGAGCAACCCCCTCCCAGGGCGAAGACCCCCCCAGCAGCCCAGGATAAAGGGCACGATGGCATCACCCCGCGATGGGGGCACGGCCTCCATGCCCCTGCCAAGCTCAGCCAGGGTGGGTGCTCACCCAGCAGCACAGCAGCCCCCAGCACCAGCAGCCCCTCCATCCCGCACACCCCAGCCCACGCTGCTGCTCTGCACCCACGAGTGGCTTAAATACCCCTGGTGGGCGGGCAGGGAGCTGCGGGCAGCCAACGGGCAAAGCCCCCTCCTTCCTTGGCTGGGCCTAGACCAAGGGGGAGGCGTGGCTTTATGTTGCCCCCCTGACCCCCTCCATGGGTCCCTTGCACCAGGTTAGGTGCCGAGGCCGTGTGCTTGTGGGGTTAGGTGGGACCCAGATCCCTGTGGGACCTCATGGCAGGACCATCCCCTGGGGCAAAGGTGGGGTGCCCCATGGATCCGGAGCTTGGTGATGGGTGCTGAGGGTGTCCCTGTGCTCCCCCCCACCCTGGGTGGCAGTTTGCAGCCAGGATTTGCTGCACACAGTGTGCTGTGAGCAGGGGGGGAGCGTCTGCAGCAACCAGGGGCAATGAGGTGCAGGGGGCAATGAGGTGCAGTGAGACCCCGCCAGGCACCCCAGAGCCCCTCGGGGAGCTCCCAGCCCTCCTGGGGCAGGAGCAAAGGCAGCACTAAGCAGTCAGGGGGGGAGATGGGGGCTGTTTGCATCCCTGCATCCTTCCCAACACCCTCAGGACAAGCCCAGGACTGTGCTTAGGGGATATTAATTGGAAAAGGGGGAAAGATGTAGATGAAATGTCAAGGGCTACATGGAAAAACACCCAGGGAGGAGAGCAGTGCTGTCACCGCGGCAGAGTGACCTTCACCCCTCCTGCTTGCCGCTCATCCAGCTGGCCCGCAGCCCAAGGTGACAGCCAGCACCCGTGGGGCCACTCGAGCCCAAAACAAAGGCGATAAGGGCTTGGCGTGGGCTGGCTGCACGTGCTGCCAGGGGCGAGTCGGGCCGGATTCAGCTGCACCCCAGGGTGCAGGGCTGGGCTGATGCACCCCAGTGCTGCAGCACCTCCCCAGGGACCCCCACCACGGCCATCGTGGCACACTGGTGTGGGGGTGCAGCCTGCCCTGAGGATGCACCAGCAAAGATGGGAGAGCACGAAGGGTCAGGGCAGAGAGACCTCCCCACCTTGTCTGCAGGACCCTCGTGCACTGACACTTAGCTCCCAGGAGGGCTCAAGTCCAGGCTAGGAGCACCCAGATGAGCCACGCACGGCGTAAAGTGCCTTCCCCTGGAGGGGAGCAGCCCCACGGGCACAGGGAAGCTGTCTCGTGGCATCGACAAACACTGTCAGGAGCCACAACAGGGAGCAGGGCAGTGGGGCAGAGGGTGGATGCCTTCCCCCCTCCCCAACACCCCGTGCCAGGAATTTCTCATCTCAGCAGAAATCCCTGGGGCTGTTTGTGCTCCACCTCGAGAGATAGGGCTGGAAAAGCCGCTCCCCTCGCCCTGGGTGTCTGGACCTGTCTGCGAGAGCCAGCTGGCTCTGCCAGGAGGGCACCGTCCCCTCCCCGGGAGGCCCCTGTGATCCCACAGGACAAAGAGAACAAGTGTGGGGACAGGGACCTGTGCAAGGGACAGATGTGTCACACGCTGCAGGCACTGGGGCCTGCAAAGGGGGCAGAGCTGGGTGGGCAGCAGTTGTATCGCTCCTGTAGAAGCAAACCAGTATTTTTCCAGGGTCTTTATTGGCAAGGCCACAGCTGGGTCCCCATCCTGCTCCTTGGCCAGCACCCCATGGCCCTGTCCCGCCGTGTCCCAGTTTCCTGCTGCACGATGGCTCCCACCGAAGGGGCTCCTCCAGGGATGGGTGCCCAGAGCCTTGCCGAGGGCTCTCCCTGCAGAGCTGAAAGGTGGCTCAGGCCAGGATAGGGTAAGTGGCTTCGGTGGCCACGCCACAGTTGTTGTCCTTCATGGCCATGAGGATGTAGCCGTCGTTGCCCCAGTACGTGGACCAGGAGTTCTTGATCAGCCAGTAGGTCTCTCCCTGCAGGACCCCATAGCCCACGGCCAGCACTGCGTGGTCCAGCGTTCCTGGCTTGTTCTCTGCAGGGAACAACATGGAAGTTTGTTTTTTTTTGTCCAGAGAACATCCCTGTCCTGGGAGCATCCCTGCTCCTGGGACTGCCAACAGTGCTGGAGCCGGTTCCCTCCTCCACCCCCGCCCAAGCTGCTCAACAAGGGGGGGATCCTGGGTGTCCTGACACCTCCCTGGGCACCCAGGTCCTCCCATGCCCCGTGTGCCACCCGACTCACCACACTTGGGCTCATAGTAGATGCCGTTGGAGTAGAAGGAGAAGGTCCTGTGCGAGGCATCGATGCTGACGGCCACGGGGCCATGCTTGTAGATGGCAGCTTTGACTGCCGTGATGTTGCCTGAGGTGACGTTGACGTAGCCCGTGATCTTGGCCAGCATCTCAGACTGGTTGTAGTGGCACAAGCCATTCTGCAGCACGCAGGGGGTGACACACGTGGTACCATGAGGAGCCCCCAGGTCCCCTCACTGGGACCCTGCCCCCCCCTGGCTGCCCCTGTGCAGCTCGGCTCTGATGTAAGGGACAATCTGGGACTCGAGCTGTGAGAGCGTCCCAGCTCTGACCGCTCCATCCTCCCCTGCCCACCATGGTGGGGACATTTTCCCGGTTGCTGCAGGGACACAGCGCTGCCCACATGCAGCATGGGGGGCTGGCTCTGCACACAAAGCCCTGGGGAGGCTGTTGCCTGCATCCTGCAGCCACGTCCCTGTCCCTGGGCAGCCCTGCTCCATCCCTGCACCCCAGGGTATGGAGCGACCCATGGCACCACCCATGGGTGGAGGAGTCTTGTCTCTGTTTTGCAAGAAGAGAAACTGAGGCACGTGGTGATGAAATCGCCTGGCTGAGCCCCGAGGGCTTGGCTTTGGACCGTGCTTTGAAGCGCAGGGAGCCTGGTGCCTTGGGGATGAGGTAACATCCCTATCTCCACAGCCTGATAGCACCTCTGACCCATCTTGATCGGCCCCACCTTGGCTCTAGAGCCCCTGGGGGGACATTGCAAGACCTTGGGGACCCCGGCAGGGACATGGAGCCACCCTCACCTGCCCCTTGTAGGTGCCATAGGACTCGGTGCTGGCGATGCCGCCGTGTTTCTTGATCCACTCGTAGGCTCGCCACTCCTCGCCCCCATCGCAGGCATAGTTCCCAAAGCCCCAGGAGCAGTCGATGAGGACTTGTTGGGACAGGGGGGTCAGCACGCCGGTCTGTGGGGGGGGACACGCTGCAGGGATGGGGACGGGCACCCTCCAAGTGCTCTGGCCATCGATGTGGGGCACGGCCCCGCTCTCACCTTGAGGAAGAGGGCACCCTCCATCGCGCCCGTTGTAGCAAAGCTCCAGCAGGACCCGCAGACGGCCTGGTCCTTCACGGGGGTCACAGCGCCTGGGGACAGCGGGATGGGGGGTGAGAGGCTGGGGTGGCACTGGGGGATGAGGGTAAGTGGAAGGGAAACTGAGGCAGGAATCACAGAATCAGAATCACAGAATCATTCACGTTGGAAAAGACCCTTGGGAGCAGCGAGTCCAACCCTCAGCCCGACTCTACAAAGTTCTCCCCTACCCCACATCCCCCAACAGCTCATTCAAACGACCCTTAAACCCCCCCAGGGATGGGGACTCCCCCCTCCCTGGGCAGCCTGTTCCACTCTCTGACCACTCTTTCTGGGAAACATTTTCTCCTCCTGCCCAGCCTGACCCTCCCCTGTTGCAGTTTCCAGCCGTTCCTGTCCCTGATCCCCCGGGAGCAGAGCCCAGCCCCAGCCTCTCTGCAATGTCCTGTCAGGAGCTGCAGAGAGGGATGAGGGCTCCCCTCAGCCTCCTCCTCCTCACACCAAACACTCCCAGCTCCTTCCCTGACTCCTCACAGGATTTACTCTCCAGGCCCTTCCCCAGCCTCGTCGCCCTCCTCTGCCCTCGCTCCAGCCCCTCGAGATCTCTCTGGGATTGAGGTGCCCAAACCCGGACACAACGCTCCAGGTGTGGCCTCACCAGTGCAGAACACGGGTGAGCCGAGGATTTGGTGCTCCCAGGGGCAACACAGCCAGAGCTTGGGGCTAATTGGGGGTGGGGGGTGGAGAATGCACCAGCCAACCCATGGGACCCCTGCCCTTGGGTCGGGGCAAGCTGTGGGGGTGTTGCTGCCAGCTGATGGGGACATGGCGGAAGCCAGACGTGGTTTCAGATGTCACATCTGTCCCCAGGGCACCAGACTAAGGGCCAAGGGTCGACCGAGCTGCCTTTTGCCAGATAAACCCTGCTTCAATCTTCCCGTTGCTGAGCAGGGCAGGCACCACGCGTCCCCGCATCCCCGCACCTACCGTACATGCGCCAGTCGAGGCTCTCGGGCAGGATGAGGCCGGTGTAGAGCTCGGTGGGGAAGGGCTGCCCGTTGTTGGGAGCCCTGCTCCGGCGGCGGCCCCGCAGGGCAGCCAGCTCCTGGGGCGTGCGGTCGGCCAAGTGGTTCAGCGCCAGCGTGTAGGAGAGCGCGGCGCGGTTCCTCGAGTGCACAAACCTGCCATCACGGTGGGGACAGCGTCAGCCACCGGCGCCATCACCCACCGTGGCAGCAGTGCAACTCTTGGGGATGAGGGGCACCCCGGAGGGGGTTGGAACCCTCCCTCCCGTCTGCCTGTACCTCATGTTGTGCACGAAGATGCTCTGCCTGTGCTCCAGCTCCCGCGCCGAGCCGTACCGCCGCCCCAGCCGCCTGCGGTAGTGGTGGAAAACCTCGTGGGCCCAGGGTTGGTGCCGTCCCACCAGGTCCTCCATGGGGTTCGCCAGCACCCGGTGCTCCGCCGCACTCCCTGGCAGGACCCCGCACTTCTTCGTCTCTGGAGAGCAAGGAGGGGACATCATCAGCCCGAGCCCCACGGGCAGGATGGGGGGGACCCTCCCTGACTCACCGTTGATGGGGAGGTCGAAGATGGAGGGGGGGAAGCTGTTGTCGAAGTCGGTGTAGGCGATCTCGTACTTGTCGTAGTGGGAGCCCAGCAGGCTGTTGTAGCCCCGCATCTCGTAGTGGACAGGGGCCACCCCGCAGCTGGAGTTGGTCACCCACAGGG